CAGTTGACTGATAAGTATTGGGCTGGTTGCATAAGAATCACCCAAGCCCCAGCACCAGAGATTATGATTTCAGGGTTCCAGGGTGGGACCTGGGAGTCAGTATTTAGAAAATAACAAAGCTCAGCTGGTTTTGATCACCAGGCAGGTTTGGGAATACTGCTTTGCATGTTAGAGTGGAGAGTGCTGTGTCTCCAGAGCGGTCCTATTACTTCTTACTTTACGCAGAACAATTACTACAACCTCTAGCCTGCTGGGGTGCCAGGTAGTCTCTCACACATACTGGACTGTGCAGAATTTATTTGAGCACAAAGGAGAGGAGGATGGATGGGAAAAAATTTCTTGATCTCTGCCCCCAAGAACTCAGAGCCTATTTGTTGAGGCAAGACTATCACACCTGAGAGCATTTATAGAACCGACACAAATAAATGTATATTAGTATTCTGCAGAGGGGGCGTGTCTGGCAGGCAAAATAGAGGTGGGGAAAGGCTGAATTTGGGAAGGAGAAAGGAGCATTAAAAGCTCCAGGTTGGGAAGAAGTTCATGTTTACATCCAAACTGTTGGCCCATCTGCTTCTGACACTTAATATGGAACCGTTCTCCGGAGAGAAGTGCCTGGGCTGGGGGTACAGCTGTGCGGCTGTCATGGGGGTGGTTAGCATGCCGTTCACTTAGGAAGCAAAACCAATTCACTGTATAGGTAATGAGCTGGGAATGGCTTAAGTAGAGGGGAATCAAAATTTTGACCTGGAAGGCAGGCCAGCCAGGGGTGGAGCTGTAGGGAAATGGAGATTGTTCTGGTCTTGCACTTGCTCCAGTTTAGGGCTGTATGCCTTTTGCTAAGGAGCCCTGGTGGCACAATGGTTAAGTAATCACTGCTAATCGAAAAGTTGTCAGTTTGAACCCGCCCAGCCGCTCTGCAGGAGAAAAGACCTGGTGGTCTGCTCCTGTAAAGATTACAGCCTAGAAAACCCTATAGGGTAGTTCTACCCTGTCACATGGGGTTGCTATGAGTCGGAATTGACTCGACAGCACACATAAAACAACACCTTTTACTCTGATGTGTTTCATTATCCTGAACTGACCTTTCACAGGGGCCCAAGCCAAATCCAGTAACTATCAGTAGGTACCCCCTACATATAGACTTTTCCAAGAGAAAGGGATTTTCCCTGGGCTATAATAAAAGACCTTTGTATTGGTGGTACAAACGGTTTGCACATGACTACTAACCTAAAATGTTGGTAGTTTGAACCCACCCAGCAGTGCCGTGGAAGAAAGGCCTGATGTTCTGCTTCTGTCAAGATTGCAACCAAGAAAACCCTATGGAGCAGTTCTACTCTGTAACACACAGGGTCACCATGAGTAGGAATCGACCCAGTGACAACAGGTTTGGGGTTTTTTGGTGTTAACAGTAAAGGGAGACTCAGTGACTCTAAGGAGAATCCATCTGATCAAGGCAGAGCTCCCTGCCCCACTCATGGAGAGCTGTTCCCAGTGGGGGTGATGAGTTTGCTATAATCCAGGATTTCCCAGATTTGCCTGGTTATAAGAGTTCTGTGGGATGCTACGGAGAGCACATGATAGAATTTTGCAAGACCAATGACTTCTTCACTGCAAATACCTTTCTTCAACAACATAAACGGTGACTATACACATGGACCTCACTGGATGGAAAACACAGGAATCAAATCAACTACATCTGTAGAAAGAGATGATGGAAAAGCTCAATATCATCAGTCAGTACAAGGCCAGAGGTCAACTGTGGAACAGACCATCAATTGCTCATATGCAAGTTCCAGTTGAAGCTGAAGAAAATTAAAACACGTCCACGAGAGCCAATATACAACTTTGACTATATCCTATCTGAATTAGGAGACCATCTAAAGAATAGATTTGATGCACTGAACACAAATGACCAAAGACCAGATGAGTTGTGGGAAGACATCAAGAACATCATACATAAAGAAAGCAAAAGGTCATAAAAAAAGACACGAAAGAAAAAAAAAGACCAAAATGCACGTCAGAAGGGACTCTGAAAGTTGCTCTTGAATGTAGAGTAGCTACAGTGAAAGGAAGAAACAATGAAGTAAAAGAGCTTAACAAAAGATTTCAAAGGGCGGCTCAAGAAGACAAAGTAAGTATTATAATGAAATGTGCAAAGAGCTGGAGTTACAAAACCAGAAGGGAAGAACATGCTTGGCATTTCTCAAGCTGAAAGAACTGAAGAAAAAATTCAAACCTCAAGTTCAATTTTGGAGGATTCTATGGGCAAAATATTGAATGATGCAGGAAGCATCAAAAGCAGATGGAAGGAATATACAGAGTCACTGTACGAAAAAGAATTGATTGACATTCAGCCATTTCAGGAGGTAGCATATGATCAAGAACTGATGGTATTGAAGGAAGAAGTCCAAGCTGCATTGAAGGCATTGGGGAAAAACAAGGCTCCGGAAATTGATGGAATACTAATTGAGATGTTTCAACAAACGGATGCAGCACGGGAGGTGCTCACTCATCTATGCCAAGAAATTTGGAAGACAGCTACTTGGCCAACTGACTGGAAGAGATCCATATCTGTGCCCATTCCAAGGAAAGCTGATCCAACAGAACGTGGAAATTATCAAACAATATCATTAATATCACACACAAGTAAAATTTTGCTGAAGATCATTTAAAAGCGGTTGCAGGAGCACATCCACAGTATATACCAGAAATTCAAGCCATATTCAGAAGAGAGCATGGAACGAGGGATATCATTGCTGATATCAGATGGATCATGGCTGAAAGCAGAGAATACCAGAAAGATGTTTACCTATGCTTTATTCGCTATGCAAAGGTATTCGAGTGTATGGATCATAACAAATTATGGATAACATTGCAAAGAAAGAGAATTCCAGAACACTTAATTGTGCTCATAAGGAACCTGTACATAGACCAAGAGGCTGTCATTTGAACAGAGCAAGGGGATACTGCATGGTTTAAAATCAAGAAAGGTGTGCATCAGGGTTGTCTCCTTTCGCCATACTCATTCAATCTGTATGCTGAGAAATCATCCGAGAAGCTGGACTATATGAAGAATGTGGCATCAGGATTTGTGGAAGACTCATTAACAATGAGCAATATGCAGATAACACAACCTTGCTTGCTGAAAGTGAAGAGGACTTGAAGCACTTACTGATGAATATCAAAGACGACAGCCTTCAGTATGGATTACACCTCAACATAAAGAAAACAAATCCTCACAGCTAGACCAATAAGCAACATCATGATAAACGGAGAAAAGATTGACCTTGTCAAGGATTTCATTTTACTTGGATCTACAATCAACGCCTATGGAAGCAGCAGTCAGGAAATCAAACGACATATTGCATTGAGCAAATCTGCTGCAAAAGACCTCTTTAAAGTGTTAAAAAGCGAAGATGTCACTTTGAGGACTAAGGTGCACCTGACCTAGGCCATGATATTTTCAATCATCTTATATGCATTCGAAAGCTGGACAGTGAATAAGGAAGAACAAAGAAAAATTGATGCCTTTAAATTATGGTGTTGGTGAAGAATATTGAATATACTATGGACTGCCAGAAGAATGAACAAGTCTGTCTTGGAAGAAATACAGCCAGAGTGCTCCTTAGAAGGGAGGATAGTGAGACTTCATCTCACATACTTTGGACATGTTGTCAGGAGGGACCAGTCCCTGGGGAAGGACATCATGCTTGGTAAAGTAGAGTGTCAGCGAAAAAGAAGAAGAACCTCATGGAGATGGATTAACACAGTGGCTGCAACAGTGGGCTCAAACATAACAATGATTGTGAGGATGACTCAGGACCGGGCAGTGTTTGGTTCTATTGTACATAGGGTTGCTATGAGTCGGAACTGACTCGACAGCACCTAACACAACAACGTGGGATGCTTATTAAAAATACAGATTTTGGGGCCCCAAATTAAAGAAAATTGAATCAAAATTTCCAGGGAGAGGGGTTTTTTTTTTTGTTGTTGTTGTTACTTGTTTTGTTTTGCTTTGTTTTAAACCATTTCTTAGTGCAAGGTAGATTTGGGAAATCTCACCTCACCATGCACCCTCTTTTACCCATGAGTGACCTAACATATGCCTCTGTGAGGCAGCTGCTGCTTAGGTGAGCTAAGACCAGCATTCTTGAAAAAAATCATTTTTTTCTGTTTAAAGACCAATAGTGATAACAACAATTACTAACCTTTATCAACTCTGTAGCAGTATAGCTCACATTATGTGCTGTTGTTAGCTGCCATCAAGTCAGTCCCCAACTCATGGCGACCCTGTGCACAACAGAATAAAATACTGCCCAGTGCTACACTATCCCCATGATGGGTTGTGGATCAAATCGTTGTGATCCGTAGGGTTGTCATTGCCAATTTTCAGAAGGAGATCGCCAGGCCTTTCTTCTGTCTAAGTCTGGAAGCTCCGCTGAAACCTGTTCAGCATCATAGCAACACAAAAGCCTCCACTGACAGACGGGTGGTGGCTGCGCATGAGGTGCATTGGCCAGGATTTAAACCCGAGTCTCCTGCGTGGGAAGGGAGAATTCTACCATTGAACCACCACTGCCCCTTCTATACTGAGGGCTTTTTCCTTTTGCTCATGTAGTCCTCCAAGAACCTAATGAAGTATGTGTTACTATTATCTCCATTTTTTTCAGACGGGGAGACAGAAAGAAAGGAAGTTAAATGACTTACCCAAAGGCCCACGCAGCAAGCAATTGGCAGAGCTAGATCAGAACTCAGGCTTCTGATGCCTGAGCTCCCTCGCTTCACCATTACACTGATGCTGGGACCTTAGATTAACTAGCTCCACACTTGAATTGTGAGCTCATCAGCTCACCACCACCACCACCACCTACCCCTAAGGAAAGGGAAAAAGAGGAGGGTATTGATATTTCTCTTACAAGCTCTAGTGGGTATGTGAATGATGAATGATGCTAAAGAAAGCAAATGAAAAGAAGGCTAATCTCCCTCATATTGGCCCTCAGGTACTGGAATTCCTTAAGCAACCTGGTGGCATCCCTACTGAACTCCGTGCGCTCCATTGCCTCCCTGCTGCTGCTCCTCTTCCTCTTTATCATCATCTTCTCCCTCCTGGGGATGCAGCTCTTTGGAGGAAAGTTCAACTTTGATGAGATGCAGACCAGGAGGAGCACATTCGATAACTTTCCCCAGTCTCTCCTCACTGTGTTTCAGGTATGGCCTCTTCTCTTCTGTGATTATGGCTGGAAGGGTGCCTGAGTGGTGGGGAGAGGGGCAAAAGAGCCTTGAAAAGGTGGTGGAAAGCTTCATCTTTCACTGAGCAGCCAAAGCCAGTCTGGATCAGCCAAAGAGGGTCCATACCCCAGAGAGTCTTGAGTTCTTTCTACAGTTTCTTCTGCCCCAAGCCACCACGAAATCCTACTGTTGGATGGACCATTGGAAAAAAATCTATTGAGTCCTTTAAAAACTCTTAGCCATGGAACGCTTAGTCAAATAAATTCATACGTGAAAGCCCAAAATATAAACAAAGAAAAGGAGAGCCACTCTTGTCGGGGGAGGAGAGGGTGATGGAGCACCTTTCTTTCCTACTCACTATGCTTGGCTCTTGAAAAAATATAACTAGCCCATCAAATTCATGATTTCATAGATATTTTTGCTTAGGACAAGGCTAAAGTAGGTAGCACCTATTTAAATTTGAAAGTAGATTGATTTATAGATAAAAATGAATAATATAAGAATATTGCAAAAGTCTTGAAGATGGTACCCAAACGACTAATGTTTAGGGAAAACTAGGGTAGCGTATTACTCTCTCAATGAACATATTCACGTTGTAAAGAGGCTGTTGATACCTTAACCCACGGAATGGCTAATGGTGGTCATGTCACGTATTATATGTATGTGGATAGTAGGAGATATTTTGACCATAAAGCCCTTTCAGTCACTCCTCAAACAATATTAAACAGGTAGCCATGTACTTTGTCTAAGAAATAGAGTCAAACGTGCCCAGATCAATAGCTGAGAGCCCCTGGGGAGGAGAACTGGGGACCAGGAGGAGGGAAAGAGGTGGAAAAGAGATTTTGGACATTTTTGTTAACATAGTGGGGCAGGGCAGGGGAGTTTTGGGGTTTGCTGTTGGTCTAACGCTGTGTCCCTTATTGGTGGGAATGTGTCATTCAGATCCTGACCGGGGAGGACTGGAATTCGGTGATGTATGATGGGATCATGGCTTATGGCGGCCCCTCTTTTCCAGGGATGTTAGTCTGTATTTACTTCATCATCCTCTTCATCTGTGGAAATTGTATCCTTTGCTACTGCCTCCCCACCCCTGCTGCGCTACCCTCCCTCAACCTGTAGCAAAAATGCCAGATAGCTATGCCTGGCAGGACCTTACTCGGGGCTGAAAACTGTGGCTGCCTATTCACAGCCCTCAGGCAAGCACGGGGAAGGCCGGCTCTGGGGGCAACAACGTTTCCGGCCAAGAGCCAGTTTAGCAGTGGAGGTGGGTTTTGGTGGAAGCCTGGAGCTTTGGCGTAGGTAGGGATGTAAGTTCATCTTACTCAATTGGCTCAGACGAAGCATTGCACTACTCCAGGTGGCATGTTCACATCATAATCCTGGTTAATGGCGCCCCCTGGCGATGTGCTGGGTGTAGTCATTCACATGGACTACGGTGTGACCGCACCCCTGGAGTTGGCACCCTGGCTGCCCTGGGGCTGTTGCATCTGCTCTAAGGTGGGGTGCTCAGTTAAGAATGGCTGAGCCATCATCCTTGCAGTGACCTTCATCTCTCCACCCTGCTTTTTGGTTGGTATCCCTCCCTCTGAAGCTGCCCCCAGGACTTTAGTCAAAGGCAAAGATGGACAGACTTCAATAAGCAGACCTAAGAGATCATCCCTGATCCAGCCCTTGAGTAGGTTTCCAAGGCCTCAAACCACAAGTGTTTCTTCTCTTCTCCTGTTGGGTTTTAAAATAGAAGCAGCTCTGGCCGAAGACTCAGGGGTCCCAGATAATGTAGTGTGAAAAACATGGACATTAAAGTCAACAGACACAGCTTCACATCTTACCAGCTGGGTGACTTGGGACGAATTAAAGCTCCTCTACCTTAGCATCTGTAAAATGGGGTAATAGAATAGTAGTTTAAAGTGATGATGTATGCAAAGTCCTTACCCCCGTGCTGGGCCCATGGGTGAGATATTCAGTAGCATCCTTGGAAGACAGATGGCCCTTCCTCTCCCCGGGTTTCAGTTTCTCTGTATGTGCAGTGGTGTGAATGTTTGGGGGCCCGGGGGGTGGGGGGTGGAGGTCGGACTTAACAAACTTTATGACCCCTTGTAGCTAAAGTTCTTTGATGCTACAGTTCTCTGACCCACAGTGTTTCCATTCAAGGTGGGTGGTAGGGGTGAGAAAAGGGCAAATGACGGCTTCTGCTAAGAATTTCCAAGCTTTGGCCAGCTCCAGCCAGCCCTCCCCGGGTCTTTGTATGCACAGCTCACATTAAGAGTTGGCAGAGATACCAGGCTGCCTCCTCAGTGCCCAGTTATAAAGAACCCCTCTTAAGAGACACCATTCTGCTAGAGACAGTGCTGTTTATAATGTCAATTTCAGCCAGCCATCTTAGTGGGGAAAACAATAATGAAATCAAGCAATTAAAGATCAAGGCAGGGCTCACTGCCTCACCACCCCCAGCTCCAGCCCACAAGCCAGCCCCATCTCAACTCCTTAGAAACTCCCAGGGGAGGGGAGAGGGAAGGAGGAAGGTCTCTGGTGGGCACTGAACCCCTCAAAGTGAGTTCTGCGCACTTTCTCTGCTGGGGAACTCTAATCCTGCATGTCCTGTACCCTCCCTGTCCCCCTGAGCCCACCAAAATCCCTAAGGGTTATTTTCTTTAAGAATGGACACAAACAGATATCCTACTGAATGTATTCTTGGCCATTGCTGTGGACAACCTGGCTGATGCTGAGAGCCTCACATCTGCCCAAAAAGAAGAGGAAGAAGAGAAGGAGAGAAAGAAGCTGGCCAGGTAACCCTCTAAGCTTACTCAAGCCCAGGGCCCAAGGGTCGCAGTTTTGGAATGCCATTCCCATTGGTGATAAAGAGAGGCTTGGGCACTGTGCTCTGTTAGCCATTCCTCCTAGAAGGGACTGGGTTTGGGGCTTCCTACAGGAAGCTGAGCTTCTTTCCTAATTTCTAGGTATTGCTCCAAGGTAGAGATCATCATAAATTTTAGTCTCTGCAAAGCTGTTGTATTTTCTCACGTTTGTCTGGGAAGTTGAGGGAATTCTCTTTTGAGGGAAGAGGCCATGATAGATAGTGGGAGTCAAGGGTGGGAGAAGAGGCAGGCAGCCACGTGGAGAGGAAATACAATTCCAGCTTAAACAGCAACCCGTCCTCAACTGTTTTGTAACTCATCTGCAGTGTTAAGAAGGCAAGACAGGGCCCTCCACTGTATCACATCATTGTCTAGATGGGACCATTGTAGGCCATGCATCTGCTGGGCACTGAGGAGAGTTCCTGCAGGTACTAATTCTAAAGAAAATGCAGAGCGTTTATCGAGTTCAGACTGGAGCAGCTGAGAAGCTGGGAGAGGCCAACTGAGGCCAGACAGAGTCACATGTAGCCAAGTGCCTAGGATCCTGGGACCAGCCCAACAGCATTTGTGATTGGGCTGCACACACGATGTGCTCTGAGCAAAGGAAGATGGACATAGACCCAGGGAGTCTTCCCACTGGCCCCCAACAGAACACAAGGTCTTTCCCTTCTTCACTGTTCCTGATCATACCAGTAAACATCCATTTGTTCTTTCTCCTGCTGACCGGCCAGGACTGCCAGCCCAGAGAAAAAACAACAGGTGATGGAAAAGCCGGCAGTGGAGGAGACCAAGGAGGAGAAAATTGAGCTGAAATCCATTACAGCTGATGGAGAGTCCCCACCCACCACCAAGGTGAGTCACCGTCTCCTACCAGGAGCTGTGAGGGCCACAATCTTCCCACACCAGACAACCATGGAAAGGAGGAAAGAAGGAAGGAAAGAGACTTGATGGATATAAAGCCAATGGGGGTGGAGCAGGAGAGCTGGGCAGATTGATTGAATCCCAGCCTTCTGTTATGTCTTGAAGAATATGTGCAAAGTGACAAGGACATATTTTTGAGTCAACAGCTCAGCCAGTGACTGTAGTGCAATTTCAAGGCTACTTGAAGCCTCTAAAGCTTTGGAACATATCTAATTGCATTCTTCTTCTCTCCCTTGGCCGACTAGATCAACATGGATGACCTCCACCCCAGTGAAAATGAGGACAAGAGTCCCTACCCCAACCCAGAAACTGCAGGTACCAGTCCTCCTGCCTAACTCCAAGACTGCGAAGTTGGGGTTAGAGTTCCAAATTCTAAAACTATATGGGAATACCAATGTATTAGGGACCAATGGTTCCAGCTTCCCTTGACACTGCTAAACCTTTCCTGTCTCTGTATTTAAGCATTATCTGTTATCATCTGGGGGAAACTTTGTTTCTGGTTTCCTCATAATAATAATGTCAGGTTCAGTGGGATCATATTTGAGCAGTGCTTTTGTGTCCTTTGAAACCTGGATTCTATATACATTTGAGATTTTCTTATAGCATATGTTGTAAAATCATTATTAAGTTATGTAATTTATGAGTATAACATATGTTGCAGCATTATGCTCGTTTAATAATAATAGTAAATCCCAAATCTGTCTTGCCCTTGCTCAGGAGGCAGTGCTGAGCACAAGGACAGCTGCCACCACAGATGTCTCACTTGTTGCTTTGTAAAATGCTTTCAGGTCTCTTGCTATAAAAAAGAGAGCTCTTACCAACTTAGACTTCTAGTGTTTCTATCTGATTTGTAAATTCAGCCCCCTTTTAGATGATTTTAATGTCAAAGGTCCTTAGATGTCTCTCAAAGATTCCCTTCGTCTGGTTCATGAAACCTCATATATCCTGTACAAGCCCTCAGCTTGCCTTCCTTTTACCTAGAATTGCAGATATTATCACCAGCGTCAAGCTTGAAGTCAATTGCACATGTAGGACTTGATGGTAGAAAAGACTGTTTATTTTACTGACATTTCCTTCTCTGTGTAGGTTAGGCTGTATTTGGATTGGTAACCAAGTTAGGTGGTGGAAAACCTTCTACATTTATGAGCAAAGCTAGGTTTTCTTTCTTGCTTTTCCTCCATCTGTTCTCTGCTGGATCTGTCTGCAAGGACAGTAGCAGCCTCTTCTTTTGTCCATAGGAGACAAGCTCCCTATGGTCATACCATCACCCACCCTTATCCCTGCTGGGGGAATAGGATTTGGTTTCCTGGGACTTGGATAGAAGAGTAGGAAGGGTGTTTCCATGTGTGGGTCATTATACCTTTTGAAGTTTTAAAAACCCTTCTGGGAAGAAACTGTTAAAAGATTTTCAAAGACTTACTAGAAATATCAACCAAATGTGATGGGAGGATCTTGCTTCAATCTTGAATGAACAAATGAACCTTAAAATGACATTTTTGAGGTAATCAGGGAAGAATGAATGTGGACCGGAGACTAAATGATATTAAGTAGTTCTTGTTAATTTTGTTGGTATAATAATGACATTGTAGTTTGTTTTTTAAAGGTTGTGGATGTGGCCTTCCTGCACACAACAGACAGCAGGGGGTGACATCTAGATCTGAGGGTCTTTCACACATGCACCCAGATGTGGACAGCCTGAATCTGCTCATTGTAGATGGCAGTGGTGCAGGGACATCTCTTGCACTTGCACCCTACAATCTACAATAATTGACAATAATCTTGATTTTATTATTCTAAATCTACTTGTGGCTTTTCTCTTCTTTGTTGCACTAATGAAACAGAAGAGAAGAGAGTCAAGGGAGAAATGATTAATGAGGATATTGTCACCATGTTGGCCATGGTAGAAATGGCTCTCTGTCAACCCAGCGTGTAACTTCTTGTGGTTTGAGGATTCAAGGAATGGTTATGCTTTTAAACTGAAAAGCTATTCCCACACTCTACTGATTCCTCAGAATTCTCTAGATTTTTTAGAGTGTGCTTTTTTCCTGCCATCATGTGGCCACCTCCTCCAAACACCTGCCTTCCTTTCTCTCGTTCCCACTGAGCTCTCTACCTTTGTTTTGATGCCTCTGATCTATTGATAACTGAGGCTGTCCTACCCTGTCCCTGGTCCACATATACTGAGGCTGTCCTACCCTATCACCTGGTCCACAGATACTGAGGCTGCCTTACCCTATCACCTGGTCCACAGCTTACACTCACCCCCTGCGCCCCCCACCACAATGAGGCTGTTAAGCCTGCCCTCAAGGCCCCCAATCTGTCCATTGTCTCTGGTTCCATTTTCTCACCAAGGAGGCCCCAAGGGCAGTGTGCTCTTAGAGCCGGGTGGCTTGCACATCTGTCCTGGCTGGAGGGCATACCTGCTACTTGCAGGAAGCAGGATCGCTCCTTGCTCATTAAAAGAATGAAATATCACAAGACAGGTTAGGAGCAGATAAAGAGCTCACACCTTCACTTTTTATTATGCACGCACTGTTGCCTGAGCTCCCCTCGGGCCTCCAATCTCAAAGGTTAAATTAGCTTCTGCTTCCCAGCTCTTCCTGCCTTCCCTGCCTCTGCAGGTCAACTGCTGGGTCCTTTAGTACCAGAAGCAGCAAAAATTCCAAGAGGCTCCTCCACAGGTCACTTAGCCCGTGGTCTCTGCTGTTTTCATTCTCTCTTTCCCTCCTGCTTCTCTTTCTTCTGAACCTTGAAAGACAGGCCTGATGTACTATTGTCCCCCCCAACCAGTGTCCCTTCCATTCACTCAGCCTCTAGACAGCTGGCCCCTGCTGCGTCCAGTCCATGCAGATGTCCCTCCAGGGGAGCCCCAGAGGCCTACTAGAGCAGCACTGATGAACATTCCTCAAGAGAGGAAGGAGGACGCCAGAGAACATACTTCCCTGCTCTCCTTCTGTTCCCCTGCTCCCTCTTCTCCCTCTACTCTCCCTTTGTCTTGACCTCCTCCCTCCAGGGCTGCTGTGTTCAGTTGTCCAGGTTATAATCAAAGGCGTATCTCCAAGTGGCCGAGTGGGAGCTGAAATCCAGCCTGCACTCTGCTAGCCAAGGGGTTTGTCCTCGCGTGGCTGTAAACACCCAGAGGAGGAGCCTTTTTCTAATTCACACCAAGTGGCTCTACAGGCCAGTGTTGGCCCTTCAGTACTTCCCTCTCTATTTAATCCCCAATGCTCACCAGCTGGTTTTAGCCTCCCAGATTAGTATACACTAAATCTTAAAACATCCACTCACCCAAAAAGAAAACCATTGTGCCAAGACAAGTAGAGGATAAGGTCGCTTTTGCTTAATCTGAGTGTCTATCATGTCCTGAACTCCTTGAAAATGCAGATGTTCTTAAGGAGTCATTAAATGCACATGACAAGTGCACATGGAAAAAAGCGTGCCCCCCACCAGAGAAAGTATAGTGCAGTATCAGATATTTGGGGAGGCTTAATTGCTGCATGAGGTTGGAGGAGAAGGAGAGCAATGAGGGGTGGTGAGTCTGAGGAGGCTTCATGAAGGAGGTAGTTGGAGAGGGAGAAAAGTTATTTCTAGACCATACTATTTTCATAGACACTGAGAGTTGGATGAAACCTTGGAGATATTCATTCATTTAATAAGTGCTTCTAAAGCACCAACTGTGTGGCAGGCACTAGGGATGCAACAGTGGGCAAGACAGAGAAGACCCCTGCTCACGTGGAGCTTACATTTCAGTAGGAGAGACAGATATTAAACAAGAAAACAACCCAACAGAAAAGGTAACGTCAGGTAGTGATAAGTGACATGAAGATAATAAAACCAAGTGTTATGTTTGAGAGTTACTAGGTAGGGCAGAGGCTGCTTTGACTGTGTGGTCTGTAAACACCTCTTTGAAGAGGCAACATTTGGGCCAAAACCTGAATGATTCAAGGGAACCAACCAGAACAATTGCCATCCAGTTGATTACAATTCATGCCAACCCCATGTGTGCCAGAGTAGAACTGTGCTCCATAGGGTTTTCAATGACTGACTTTTTGGAAGTAGATCACCAGGTCTTTCTTCCAAGGCACCTTTGGGTGGACTGCAGCTTCCAGCCTTTCTGGAAGTTGATTTGAGTACATTTGCGGTTAGCAGCCAAGTGCGTTAACCATTTGTATCACCCAGGAACTCCTTCAGAGGAACCAGACATATGGAAATCAGAGGCAAGAGCTTCCCAAGTGGAGGGATTAGCAAGTGCAGAGTCTCTTAGGGGCAGTGTGCTTGGCAGCAAAGGAATCTAAAGAGGGCCAATGTGACTGGAACAGAGAAAACACAGGAGAGTGCTAGATGAGATAGAATAGGCAAGAGCAGATGGAGCAGGGCCTCCAAGGCCACACGAGAGGTGTGGATTTCGTCTCATGGGAGTGGAGAGCCACTGGAGTATCTCAGGCAGGGAGGGACATGATCTGACTCCAACTTACCTTGTAAAAGACTTACTCGCTGCCACGTGAGAAAAATGGTTGACGGACAAGAGTGGAACTAGGGGAGAGGGACAGTTTAGACTAATGCTGTAGTGCCGGTGAGAGATTATGACAGCCAGGCCAAGGGTGATGGTGGTGGAGATACAGAGAAATGGTTGGATTTGAGTACATTTTGCAGGTAGGGCCAACAGGGCTTATTAAGAATTAGATGTTGGGGAAAAAGAAAGAGGAATAAAGGGCATCTCAGTTTCGTAAGGCTGCTGTAACAACATACCATAAAGTGAGTGACTCTAAAAAATAAACTTATTTTCTCACAGTTCTGGAGGCTAGAAGTCCAAATCAGGGTGTTGATATGGCTAAGCTCTCTCTCTGTCAGTTCTAGGGGAAGATCCTTTCTAGTCTCTTTCAGCTTCTGTAGCCCCAGGCATTTCTTGCCTTTCCTTGGCTTGTTAAATGTAGTTTCACAAGACTTCTTCCCCCAAGTGTGACTCTTTGTTTCTGTGTGATCCTCCTCTTTTAAAAGACACAAGTCATATAAGATTAGGACCCACCCTTCTCTGGTGTGACCTGGTTAACCTGACTGATAACATCTCCAAAGAAAAGCCCTATTTCCCCAAACAAGGTCACATTTATAGGTACGGGGGTTAGGATTTCAACATATCTTTTGGGGGAACACATCTATCCATGGTGATTCCAACACATTCATAACAAAGGGTGATTCTTGGGTTTTTTAACTGAGCCAGTAAAGAATACCCAATGAAGGAATCACATCCTCAGCCTTCTGTCCCTGCTCTCCTACAGCTCTGCCCTAGATGTCTGGCCCTCAAGCAGTCATGCCCTGCCTTTAGCTGTCAGTAAGCCTGTGTACCTCACTAAACATTGTAAGCTCCTCAAAGGCAAGAACCATGGCTTTGTGTCCTCAACCTCAGAGGTAGGCACTAGAGGCCATGAGCAAAACCACACAGGTGAAAATGAGTATCAGATTGGATAGGGGACAAGAGTCACCAAAGACAAAGAGTGGAGCATTTTGCTATACAAATACTATAACCTGCCATTCTGAAAAGTAGCGACTCCACAGCACAGCAGTATCTGACTTATCATACTTTTTCCAAACCTCCAAGAACAAAGATAAGAAAGAACCTCAAGGGATTCTACTGGCATTTGAGAGTGGGAGTCCAGGTGATTCTGTTGCCAACCCCAAAAATGAACTTTTGTCTGACTTTTCCTAATCTGTTGGCCTCCCTCCTTATACATAATGCATGCTAAACATCACATGCTGTCAAATTTCTGTCCCTTTACAAGTTTGCATTTGTCCTTCAGAAATGGTTTCCTCTTTTAAGCCTGAAATTTAGGTAGCTGTTCTCAGCTGAACCCCATGCCATTGTGTATGTCTGAATAGACCAACTCGATTCTCTCCAAAAATGGAAATTGATAATAGAACTTCATAAACAGCGAGGCAGGCTAATGCAGTGGAAAGAGCCTGCAAAATTCATTAGGAGCTCAGAAAAGTATTAAGCCAATACATATGGTTTTCTTTAAATGTAAATGATTATAATAAGCATAAATTGCCTGTTATGAAATGACTATCAGTAATAAAATGTTGTATCTTTTAGAGCAAAACTGAAAAGGATGCAAACATCTAGACAAGGATTTAAGATCCTTTCGAATTAGATTGTAAATATCACTATTTAGGCCAACTCTGATTTCACTTATTCTGCTTTAAGTAGACTTTGCCTTTCTTGTACATATGAAGACTTGAGTGTCAAAAAGCTTCAACCCTTGGCCTGTACGCAATTTTTCATCTCACTGTCTCTTCTGCTGAAAATATTAATTGCCTTGCCGGTCAGCTCTAATTACCCTAGGGAAAGAATCTGATTTATGCCTATATTCTGCTGTCCGCCAGCAAAAGGTCCCTAAATGCTTCTTGCTTGATAAAGTACCAGTTTCTGTGCCAGGCTTTTTTTTTTTTTAATCTCTATGCCACCTGGCTTCATTTTGACCAGAAGATGAGAGTGAGGGCAGAGGCTTGGCCGAGTCATAAGATGAACTTCCCTAACAATCTTTTTCCAACCAGGGGAGGATTTGTCTCCACTTGACCCCCTTCTTTTGCAAAGTCTCCTTCCTTAGGAAGTTACTGTTGGTGTAGTTCAGTCACCATCAAGAAATAAGTGCTAACTTCATGTCAGACACTGTTGAAAACTTGGGACAATGTCCTTTGTGACACTGACTTATTCAGGACCAGGGTACACTTCCCAACAATTAAACTTGTAACTGTTAAAAAAAAAGAAAGAAAGAAAGAAGTGCTACCATGTGCCAGACATGGTTTCTCTCTACGGAAGTTTTTAGCATGTAGAGAGATGGGACAGATGACATTTAAAATCAGTCATCCAAGGTATTGTGTGCTACGTGCCAAATGAACGCGGGAGGCAGAAGATGCTGCCGGAGTCCACAGGAAGGTCATTCCCAGGAGCCAAGGGGACTCAGGAAAGCCAGAGGAAGGATGCTTTCTGGGGTGGGGCCCTTGTAGCTCTGCAGAGAGGGAGATGCAGAGCAGTTCAGAGAGAGAGAACATAAGGAAAGGAGAGAGCGCAGAGTGGGTGGATTTGTTTCCTAGAGCTGCCATAATAAATTACTGCAAGCTGGGTGGCTTAAAACAGAAATTTATCGTTTCGCATTCTGGAGGCTTGAAATCCAATATCCAGGGGTCTTCAGGGCCATACTCCCTGTAAAGGCTCTAGAGAAGAATCCTTCCTTGCCTCTTCCTAGCTTGTGTTAGTCTCTGGCAATCCTTGGTGTTCCTTGACTTGTAGCTGCATCACTCCAATCTCTGTCCCCATTGTCACGTGACTTTCTTCCCTGTGTCTCTGTGTGTCTCTTTTCTTATAAGAACACCAGTCATCGGAGCCCTGGTGGCACAGTGGTTAAGAGCTTGGCTGCTAACCAAAAGGTCAGCAGTTGGAATCCATCAGCTGCTCCTTGGAAACCCTATGGGGCACTTCTACTGTGTCCTGTAGGGTTGCTATGAGTCAAAATGAACTCAACAGCAACAGGTTTGGTTTTTTCTAACCCAGTAAGACCTCATTTTAACTTAACTAGTTACATCTGCAAAGACCCTATTTCCAAATAAGGTCACATTCTGAGGGTCCAGGTAGACATGAATTTGGGGGGGAGCAGTATTCAGCCCACTATAGTGGGTGTTCAGAAAATAGTTGACACCTAAAGCACAATAAAAAAAATGTTTAAATAATAAAAAAAAAAGAAAATAGTTGAATGTGAATGGAAGGTCTATTAGGGGAGACTCGCATGTAAGGATCAGACAGAGAAAGATGTTAAACACTAGTTTATGACTTAAAACCTCTCTCCTGGAGAGAAATAATCATAAAAATAGCTAATACTTATATAGTGCTTGCTGTGTGCCAGGCACCATTCTGAGGTACGTACGTACTGTTATTATTATCCCATCTTACAGATGAGGAAACTGGGGCACAGAGAGACTAAATAAAATGCCCCTAGCCAGAAAGAAACTGAGCCAAGACTTGGATCAAATCATCTGGCCACAGAGTCCATGCTCCTAACCCCCATGCTATTATCTTTCGCCTTATAATCATTTTAAAGCACACTTGACCAGAACAGGACATGCAGCTGCATACTGGCTCCCAAGGGCAATGTGTTTGTAAGCAAAAGAATAAGCTGTTTGACCCTGGTCCACATTAAATGTGTCCACTGGCCAGGAATGCAGAAGGGCTTCTTTAATTCATGTCAGTGTCTCACAAGGATTCTAAGCCTTTGAATAAAGGCCTGGTGATGGTCAACATTACTGCCCTATTATCCCTACAGTACATGAATTTTTTGTATTTTCAGAAATGAGGGAAGTGTTGATTTTAAATTCCTGGAACCTTCAAGGACAGGATTGTTTGCAAGGGGTCCCGCGAAGTCCACTAAGCCAGGCCCCTCCCCCACCCCACACCTAGATGGACCGGTAACACCTAGTAATGCCCTAGTCTTACCTGGTCACCTTTTCCAGTGCCTTACAATTAGGGTGACCAACCATCCCAGTTTGCCCAGGGCTGAGGCGTTTCCCAGGATGTGGGAATTTCAGTTTAAAACCCAGACAGGCTGGGCAAACCAGGATGAGTTGGTCATCGTACTCACAACCCCCGTATCATGTGCTGCCAAAAAACTCTGTTTCTCGCAGAGATGAGCTCCAGCAGTACCCACAGGGATAGAGCAGAGTGTCTGTCTTGGTTGGCACCCTACATTCCCAGAGATACAAGTGCTTTCTTGATTCCTGCCAGTAGGAAGGTATATGGAAGTAGGTGGGCAATGGCAAGACCAAGTGGGAGTGGTGGAGTTATTTAGACTGGTGCTTTTTTCCTTACAGGAGAAGAGGAGGAGGAGGAGCCTGAGATGCCTGTGGGCCCCCGTCCCCGCCCACTGTCTGAGCTGCACCTTAAGGAAAAAGCAGTGCCCATGCCAGAAGCCAGTGCGTTTTTCATCTTCAGCGCCAACAACAGGTGTGCAAGAACAGTGGGAAACTGGGAGTCAGCTCTTTGCACGATACAAGCTGGCAGGCACCTGTATTTTACCTGAACCTCTGGATGGCGCCTGGCACTCCCCCAGCTCTGCATAACTTGTGTAAAGTGATTTAGGAAAAGAGTCCTGGGTTCTGATTCAGAAGACCCTGCATTTATTTTTCTCTTCATTCTTTTGAAATTTGTAAACTCTATTTCATTATTTTCATAGTTACTCCTAATATTTTTTTGTGGTAAAGTATATATAACATAAAATTTGCCCTTTGTAAGTGTACAATTCCGTGACTTTAATTACTCCCACAATGTTTGCAACCGTCATCCCTATTTCCAAAACTGCCTCTTGATATTTTACTAAGTATATTTAGCTTAACAAACTCTAAAGTTAAACAGTGTCTTAAATCTCCTCCTGTTCCGTAGAAGAATCTTATGATATTTTATCTCCTGACTTACATGTTATTGTTGACTAGTTTTGTTGACTAGTCCTGGAGCCTGTCTGAAGGCCTGGGCTGAAGCCCTGACTCCCTCATCCTGTAGCCATGTTTCTGGGCAAGCCTCTCCTCCCTGGGCTGCAGTGTTCTTATCTGTGAAATGAAGATGATAATAATACCCATACCTCCCTTCCTAAGCTGTCATCAAGATTAAAGGAGATGGTATACGAGACACCCTTGGCATTCAAGGATCTAGTACTTGTGGTACTCGCAGTGAGCACTCAGAGGTCCGTACATGTAGTTCTTTGTACTTATGCTGAGGTGTGGGATTTAACTGCACACCTTGAAGATCTTACACAGAAGCAAACCACCTAGCCAGAGAGTAGACTTAGCCAGACTCTCAGCATCCACATCTCTGAGTACCTCTATTGTTCCCTATGCATAAAAATATGAAGTAGATCTCATAAAGTGATTTTTTAAAATAATGGGGAAAAGGAATCCCCAAACAAAAGCCAATGGTTAATGTCACAGCAGTACTTGAAAATGTAGAGATTCCCAAAGGTCTCAGATGTAACCTTCTGAAATGTCAAAGGTTTACTGCTATCAAAGTGCTTTATAACTACAAAGTTCTGTAGAGAGATGCGTGGTGCTGGTGGTGGTAGTGATGGTGGTGGTGATGGTGGTAGTGGTGTCATTACCCAGCAGCAAGACTTCAGGCTGAAGTGGCCACTCCCAAACCAACAAGCCCCTTTTGGAAGCTAGTGGAAGGAGGTGGGAAGAGTGGCTCCTGAGGCCCAGCGAGTTGTTCCCTTTGTCATTCCTGACATGTCTCTCTTTCTCTCCTCCTCCCCATGCAGGTTCCGCCTCCAGTGCCACCGCATTGTCAATGACTCGATCTTCACCAACCTGATCCTCTTCTTCATTCTGCTCAGCAGTATTTCCCTGGCTGCCGAGGACCCCGTCCAGCACACCTCCTTCAGGAACCATGTACGCATCCCCTTTTGTTCTCTGCACCCCTTCCTCCTGGGAATCTGACTGGGCTCACAGCTTCTGTGGCTAATGTCATCGATCAGTCGGGAGCCCAATTCCAAAATTCCCAATCCAATGCACAGTAAACATTTTCTTAAGAGATTAGGACTTTTGAAGAACTCATCTTAGGACCAGAAGAAGCAAGTAAGAGGGCATGAACCCAAAAGCCTTGGGCTGGCCTGATAATTGGTGAAGGTCAGGACTTTAATTGCCCTGTGAGTGTTCCCCGGATGCCTGGTTCCCTGTAAACCTGGTAAAGGGTGGCCACTGATTACTGAGTCCCTGCCTTCTCTCTGACCAGTCTGTAACCATATTCTGACCAGTCCCGATAACTAGGGAGAGAGAAGGAGCATTGGCAAGTAGGTGCCAATGATAATGCTCACCTTGTATGAAAAAGAGCCTTGGTGACTGTGTGCAGAGTAGAAAACTAAATTTGGAGACCCACCCAAGGCTCTGGTGAATGTCATTAGAATAAGAAGTAACAGGCGTTTGCTCTGCCTTGAAGCCTCAGGTGGGCATGAGAGAAGAGCCCACCAATCTAAAGCCGTACCCATGCCAAACCAGTTGGTGGCTTCTGGAGCCTGCTTGGCCCAGGGCTTTCCTACTGAAGGTTAGCAGGTGTTGGCCCTAGCTCTGATCTATCACCTGAAACATAATGAAGCATGAACTCCTGGAGCCTGTCCCCAGCCTGGGTGAGCCTCACCTGGAGGATGTTCCCTCCCATGCCCCAAAGAGACACCACCGGTATAGATTTCCACCAACATAGGAAGCTGGCTGAGTCACGCCAAACTGAGCTAAGCATTTTGTAGCTTCCTGCAGAAAAAAAAAACAAACAAACCCTACTCTTGGTCCCTTAAGGAGCCCTGGTGGTGCAGTGGTTAATCACTTGGCTACAAACCGAAAAGTCAGCAGTCCGAACCCACTAGCCACCCTGCGGGAGAAAGATGTGGCAGTCTGCTTCCAGAAAGGTTTACAGCCTTGGAAACCCTGTGGGTTCTACTCTGTCCTATAAGGTCACTATGTGTCGAAATCGACTCAATGGCAATGGGTTTTTTGGGTCTCTGACTCTTTGACAAGCACCCCAATGGTCTGATTGGGGTTTGTAAATATTTTGGATTCATGAGAAAAACATCCAGCAAGACACTGCCCAGGCCCAGTATCAGCCGAGGCCTGCATGGAAGCTCCCCTCATGTATCTGGGGACTTCATCTGAAGCACTAAGCTGCCTGAGGCTAGCCCAGCTTCAGGATCCGACGTTGTGTCTATGCCACTTGTCTCTTAACTCATTCCCATCCGTCTCGACATGGAAAGCCTCAAGTGTCATGCATTTTGGTTATTGAAGTGTGATTCCTTTCTTCGTGAACATCCACTGACCTCTCCTCTCCTCCTGTCCTGCTGTTCTCCCTTCCCTTCCCCACCCCACCCTTTTTCTTTTTGTTTTGCAGATTCTGTATTATTTTGATATTGTTTTTACTACCATTTTCACCATTGAAATTGCTCTGAAGGTAAAGCCCCCATCACCCTCTCCTCCTTCTCCTGTCCTCCCTTGTGCCAGCACCAGCTCTCTCCTGCCGTCTGTCGCTAACACACATGCTCCTGTTGGTGTCGGGTTCACTCTCAGAGCCACTAATCCAATTGTGCTTATTTTTCAGATCCTAGGCAATGCAGACTATGTCTTCACTAGTATCTTTACATTAGAAATTATCCTTAAGGTAATGCAACCTGAGCAATGTTTTCTCGCTGTCTCTTCCTTTGTTTCTGCTCTGTCTGGCTGTTTCGTCTTTCTTCTATTTCTTTCACTCTCTCCTTTTACTCTCCAGCCTGGAATCGAAAAACCGAGTGCCCCTCACTTTGTATTATGCACTTTGTTCAGGCTCAGAAGCTATAGATGCCTCCAGAAGAAACCCACCCCACTGCGGCCCCTCCTCCCTGACCACCATCAAACAGTTCTTGGCCTGGAAGAGGCACGCGGTGGCCAGTGTCAACACTGGTGCCAGCGCATCAGTGGGTTTGGCGCTGCACACACCATTCAGCAGTGCCCCTGCACACCAGCTCACACATGCATTCACACACATGCTTACACACAGACCATCTCCAGTTAACTGATGACTGGTTCCTGTTTAGGACCTGATTTCCCTTCTCCTGCCCAGAGGAAGTGCCAACCAGACTTCAAAAGTAGGAAAGCTCTTGGGGCCTTAGGGCATCTCATCAGCAGCCCTCTTTGGATGGGCATCTTCCCACCTCCACAGAACTTGCGGGAGTCATCAGGGTTAAGCTGCAGCTGGGCCTTCATTATAGTAGTCGTGAGCCTGATGCAAGATTTGGAGCCAGTCTCCCCAGCTGCAGTCTTTCAGCAGACAAATACAGATGACTTCTGAACCCTCAGTTACCCACTAAAAAGCTTTGTTATTTGTTACAATGCCCCTTGCCCTAAGGATGGAGGAGGGAGGATTGTACTGGAGAGCTAAATATAGGGGGTTGAGAAGCAAGTGCTGAGGAAAGCTTGAGCGCCCAGGCCCCAAGCCCTGGACTTCAGGGCACAGGCACAGCCCTGCCTGCTGCTGACCCACCTCTGGGTACTGGCGGCTCTGTTTATGGAACTGCTATAACACTGTTATCCTAAAAACAGGTAGAGCCCCTGTGAACATCATTGGGATGAGAGATATCATCTCTAGGTTTTTGTGTTATACTTCTGAGCCTCTAAACCAATGCACTGCCAAGCCAGTTCATCTGAGATTCAGGGTGTGAGTTCGGAGACCTTGGGAAAAGTGCATGTCAGTATGTACTCTCCTCTCAGAGCAAAGAGGCAGATTTCACCCTTACCCTGAACAGGAGGGTTATAGGCTCTGAAGCACCTGCTTCCACTTCAGTGGCTTATTTCTGGGACACCTGCCTGGGACTCTCCCTCCAAAGGAATCCAGGCTCCCTTTTCATCCCATCCCTGAAGCTGACAGAAGCTGGATGTCAACACCTAACTCCAGCCCTGCAGACACTTCCTATCCTGATAAAATTCCCAGGTCATGGCCCAACCCTTTGATGTACTAAAGGCTATGTCATATCCAGACATAATTTGAGCAGGGCGGTGTTTGTGTGCTGGATGCCAGGGGGCTCCCTCGTGCTCACCCCTGCCTTCTGTTCCCGGTTTCGGTTAGCCAAGGCTGTTCCTCAGGTTTTTGTCTTCTACTCAGGGAGGGTAGATCTGACTAGGCCCACTTCTTGAGGGTGGGGAGCAGAGAACTAACAGGTACTTGGCTCCATTAAGATGTACTGCTGTGAAACCCCTTTTTCATGGAGAGCTGTTTTTGAATTTGGTTTTGGTTTTTGTTTTTCCTGGACTTCAGACTCAGGGAGGCACACAGGCCCAAAATTCTTTCCTAGGACAAGAAAAGCTCTGAGACCCAATTCTCAGTACCCCTCTACAAAGCTTCCCTTGTGGATTTCAATGGTGCTATTTTGCCTTCAAGATTGCCATACAAGCAGAAGTGAAAGGTCTCTTTGCAAGCATTGTCATGGCAAGATCCTTCCCTACCCTTTTCCCCTTTTCCCCTTCTATTCTCTCTTATGCTCATGTGCTCCTGACTGTAAACTCCAGTCCCTGCACCTCCTTCCCTCTGGTGCCTCTGCCTAGCCTGAAGGCCCTGTCTTGAGCCATGGCAGAGACAATGATGGCTGCCCGAGAGGGGCATTGAGAATCAGGGACAGTTAAAGGAACTGAGGATGTTGGGCCTTAAAAAGAAATGGCTTGAAGGACCACAATAACTGGCCTGAAGGATGCAAAGGACTGTCACATAGAAGAGAGAGGAGGTGGACCAATGAGTAGAAATTGCAGGAGATAAGTCACTTTTAGGAGGCAGTGGTATTTCCGTGATTGAATTCTTGCCTTCCATATGGAAGACCCGGGTTTGATTCACGGCCAGTGCACTTCAACTGCAGCTACCACTTATCTATCAGTGGAGATGTGTGTTGCTATGATGCTGAACAGGTTTCAGTAGAGCTTCCAGATTAAGACAGACTAGGAGGAGAGGCCTGGCGATCTACTTTGGAAAATCAGCCAATGAAAATCCTATGTGCGTGGTGTTGCCATGAGTCGTGGGCCAAGTCAACAACGGAAACTAACAACAAGAAGTCACTTTTGATAGCTAGAGCTGTCCCACAGTGGGAAGAGCTGTCTAGGGGGGCGGGGGTTGCCTGTGGCTCACCAGAGGGGGATTCCTGCCCTTTTAACTTAGACAGTCAGTGAACCTATGGCCCACTCCTTTGTCTTTCCTCAAGCTAGAAATGCACCAGCAATAGGCTTGTCTTGAGTCAAGACTTAGAACTTTCAGGAAGCAGGGACTGGGCAGTTGGCAATCAGCAAAACAGGGTAAGGCAAGGAGACTTTACACTAGATATCTGAACTTGGCTTTTTCTGGTGCCCAGAGTGTCACAGATGACTTTCAAATAAATTCTCCATTTTTCCAGCATCTGCTTGCACTTTCTCCAACATCCACTCTTCCTCATGCCCTGCCTGGATGCACACATGTGCACGCACACACTCACACACACACATTTACATACACACTCTCACACACATACACACGGAAACACTGGTCTCATTCTACGGTCTCCTGACAAAACAGGAGTCCAAAAACAAAAGAAAAACTTGGCTCTCTGAGCCCCATTAAGTCCACCTATCCAAGGAATTCTTTTTCCCAAATGAGGGGTGGGCTCTGTGCTGGAGCTCAGTAGTGACCTTAGAGGATCCAAGCCAGGAGCAAGGAGAGATGAGACCTAGTGCCTTCTCTAGATTCGAAGTGAGATGGCTCAGGAAGACAGCCTGCCTGCTGCAGGAACAGAAGGCTCTTTGATTTACATGAACTATGGGAGCCACCCAAGCCCAGGCTCTGGGGTCCCATGTCCTCACTGAGAGTCAGGGAAGCGAGCCCCTCTAGATGGTAGGCCTTTGGGAGAGATCTCAAATTGTATTCCCCTGCAACCTTTTATATAATCTACTCACTTCTAACAACTTTTGCAGAACACAGGTGCCTGAGTCCCCCGTGGCCCCCTACTGCAAGAGATAAATGGAAAGAATTAGGTTGCAAGAGCTATTTTTGCCCATTTCCCCTGTGTTGCTTTTGAATTGCTCGGTGGACGCACTGCCCTGGGCATGCTCTGATTCCAGAGAGATAAACTGGACCCCAGATCACCAGAGAATTGCTCCCAGCCTCTCAGCCATCAGCTCCAAAGGTGTCCCTTCAGCTGACGCTTCATGGCCCATGGCCTTTTCGGCCCTTAACCTAGAAATCCACTGGTCCTTCATTCAAGTCGAGCAGAATTGGAAAGGCTGTTTGTTGAACACCTACAGAGCACAGCTTTACACCGAGCTCCAAGGGAGGGAATACAATAATAGCCAAGTCATGGAACAATAGTCATCATCCATATGTCCCCTTTTTAGTTTTCAAAGGGCTTTCATGTTGTTTTTCTATGAGCTTCACAAAGGCAGAGAATAGTATTCCAATTTTATACATGAGGAGTCTTCCCCTTTACAGGAAGAATCCAGAATTCAAATCCAAGTTATCTGGCCCTATGTTCTGTTCTCTTTGGTGACAGCTAACACTTATATATGGAGTTTACTATCTGCAGGATAGTTCAAAGTGTTTTACATTCAGTTGATACTTACAACCCTATAGAATGGATATTATAATAATTATCCCCATTTTTCAGATAAGGAAACTCAACTTCTCTCAGGAAGAATGCAGAATTCGAATACAAGTTTATGTGGCCCCAAGTTCACTGGCCCCAGCTAACACTAATAGGCACTATCTGCTTACAGCCATCTAGGGTAGATAGTGTTATCTCCATTTTTCAGATGAGGAAACTGAGGCATAGAGAAGTTAAAGTAACTTGCCCCAGGCCACACAAAATATGATAGAATTGGGATTCAAACCCAGGTGCTCTGGCTCCAGAGTCTGTGCCTTTAACCATTGTACCACATTGCCTCTCTGAACACATGGCCCTTGCCCTTAAAGAGCATGCAGTCTAGAAGCAAGACGAGAACTGAGTCCAGAATGTTTGGCACAGATCATAAGTACTACTTGAGGCCAGGAGTTGGAAAGATGCTAGTTTCCAGAGTTGGTGGTAGAACTTCTCACTGGGTGACCAACCATTCTAGTTTGCCTGGGATGAGGGTTTCCAGCATCACAGAATTTTCAGTGCTAAAACTGAGAAAGTCCTGGGCAAAGTGGGGCAGGTGGTCACCTACTGGGCATGTCCCACCTTCCCCCGATACCTAGTGTCTTAAGCTGGCCCAGAGGATAAATGAAATTTAGAGAAGTTGAGGAGTTTATGTACAAGGGAAACCCTGACTGGGTGGCACCAGCCAAGCACCTTTTTGGGCTGGAGCTGAAAGATATGATGAGGAACAGTGAAAAATCAGATTGGGGCCCAATTTGAAAGCATTTTGAATATGGGACTGAAGAGTCTGATGTGGCCTGGTAGGTGGAAAGAACCTCTATATATCCTTAGCTGGGGGGGGCGGTTCTTCGGTGGGTGCACAAACAGTTGCAGAAGCCTTTTCTTGGCACCATAGCTCCTTATTTGGTGCTGCTTCCCCCCCGCCAGTTCTCTGTCACCTCAGTGCCCTTAGACTGGGCCCTACAGGAGTCAGGAATGCTTGAGACCTGCCCAAGGGATGCTATGGGAGGAAGGGATACAAGGTGGGGGCGGTCTCTGGACCTTAGGCTCAGGTCAGTCACACTCATGTTTCTCTGTGCCTCCCTGCAGATGACTGCTTATGGGGCTTTCCTCCACAAGGGCTCTTTCTGCCGGAACTACTTCAACATCTTGGACCTGCTCGTGGTCAGCGTGTCCCTCATCTCCTTTGGCATCCAGTGAGTAGGAGTTCCTTCAGCCCAAGATGGGGGTATGCGGCTAGGAATGTGTGTTGGAGAGGGCAACCAGGTTTTGGGGGCCTTCCCGAAGAGTCACCACAGTGTGACTGTGATGGGAATGGGGCCTCTGAAGTAGTATAGCATGGCAACTTTGATTCCTCGGTCCATGTCCTCAATAGTGGGACACTTGGGGGTGTGTCGATCCAGCAGGCTTTGCCATGACTGGCAGGGCCACACCAGTTATAAAGAGAGGATTGTCTCCAGCGCCATCCCACCTCCCTCACCAGGTGACCAGTGCCCTTGGCTGCCCTTCATCTACCAAGTGCCATTGCCACGACCCGTCCTGATGTTCTGGTCCATCCTCCCTATTTTCTCTCACCTTTTTCCCCAGTTAAAGCATCCGATGTTTTCCGTGTATGTGTGTGTGTGTGTGTGTGTGTGTGTGTGTGCGCGTGTGTGTGTGTGTCTAGCGAGAGAGAGTGTGAGGAGCATGCACACAAGAGTGGGAGAAAGCACTGGCTGCTTGTGGAACTGGCTTGCTCAGTGGAACTACCTGGGTAACTTTAAAAAAGACATTTGCCCGAATCCCACTCCCCGTTTTTTTTGTTTGTTTGTTTTTAATTTTAGTTGGTCTGGAGTGCTTAAAAGCTCCCCAAGTAATTCCACTGTACAGACAAGGTTGTGAACCTTTCTCAGGTTTAAATTGATCCAATTACTAGTTGCTACCAAGTTCCAGCAGCGGATAATGATAATCCTGTACTTAAACTTCCCAAGCACTTTCACAGACACATTCTTATATATATGGTCCTTACAAAAAACCTATGAGGTAGAGAGCAAGTCTTGTTATCACCATTTTATAGGTGGGAAAATTGAGGTTGAAGGCATTATAAGACTTGCCCAAGGTCATACCAATAACAGAGAAAAGCTTAAGTCCCAGGGGTCATGAGTCTCCCTTCCCAAGGGTTATTTTTATGGTGAGCTAAGGTGGGGTAGAGATGGGGGCTTTAGGAGTGAGACTCTTTTTTGTGGTCATCAGTTATATTACCCAAAACTTCTGTCTGAGAGCCTACAGGTCTAGATTCTAATCCCAGCACTGCTAATAAATCAGGATTCAACCTTGAACCAAGAGCCCTCCTCTTTATGTGCTTTCCCCATCTGACCTTTAAATCCCTTCCAGTTGTGATTCAGTGCAAACTGACTCCCTCCCTGAGATCCTGTGGGATAAGCTGCAGTGGTAGATAGGCGTGCCTTTTGAATCTTTTGGAATAAAAGAGCTATGAACCAGAGAAATCAGATCTTTCTCCCTCTTGAGTACATCATCCTGACCACGTGAAGAATAAAATCTGCACTTGCCGACGTGTCATACATTTTTTAGGTCCCAAAGTAGGCTTGAGAGGGTATCTCAATCAGAGATAGTGTGTGAGGGTTGTAATAAGCTTCAGAGTTACTCACCAACCTGGCATGGTTCATATGCCTCCCCAAGGTGAACAGTTAACTCCAGAAATGATCCCAGCATCTTGCCAAGGGGGCTGTGGGTAGCCTGCCCCCTGGTGCCTCCTTCCCAATAGGGAGTAGCAGTAGCCTCAGGCTCCCCAAAATTCTGACTTGGTCCTGGCATCTCAGCTGTGTGGAAACTGCTGTGTAGAGACCATTCCTCCACAGGGTTTTCAGTAGTTGATTTTTTGGAAGTAGGTCACCAGGGCTTTCTTCCAAGGTGCCTCTGGATGGACTCAAAACTCCCACCTTTCTGTTAGCAGCTGAGGGTGTTAACCATTTGTACCACTCAGGGACTCCATAATAGTAAAAGCTACCATTTATTGGCTTCATAATATATGCCAAGCATATTGCTAGTTGATTCTCATTTTCTCATTTAATCCTTACAACAACCTTATGAGGTGATGACTGCCTCCATTTTACAGATGAAGAAACTAAGGCTCAGAAAAGTTAGGAAATTTGTCCTCAGTGACTTGGCTAGGAATTGGCAAAGCTGGGGTTTGAATTCAGGTTTGCCTTGCTCTGAATCTCCTTGACACCATAGATACCCCCTGAACAGCTCATTATATTGCCAATAATTCATGGTGAGTTATTAATAACTCATGTCCTCCCCAGCCCCCACCACCTGCCAGCCACAAGACCTGGAGTTCCCCATCAGTATATTATTCTTTAAGTTCAATGATGCCTTCACCAGGCATAATAATAAAAATTGTTTTTCATATTATTTACTCACCAATGGGGAAGTCCCAGGGTCACAGACAAGCTCTGAGTTCTTAGAGGGTGGGG